CCGGTCGGACGGACGGCGGCGGCGGCGCGCGCGTGTGGGTTTATGACCAAACCCAATGGGATATAGGTCTTCCCCCTTCCAAAGACTATTGGTACCCCTTGGGGCCCAAACCCAATTCCAAACTTCCACCTTATAAACCACACCAAAGTTTCTTAACTTTCCTATGTGGGATAAGTGTTTGACAAATCAAATTCTTCCATAATCCTTAGTTTATGTGGGTTACTTTAACGCTTAATATTTCATTCAATTTTAAATGGTTTTCGATAAATAAATATATCACGTTAATCATCTCGCGGAGTAGAACGTGAATATGCTAGGTCCCGTATTATTTAAAAGGTGGGTCCCACTGAAATTTGGGCTCAAAGTTGACCCATTAAACCATTTTTTCCAACACGACAGTCGTCCTATGTGGCATACACATGACAGGTTGTTATTTGATGTATTAATGAATAAAAAAATTACCATATTAATATATCAAATAATCACCTACCATGTATATACCACGTAGGACGAATTTTGTAGCGAGCTAGCATTACTATTTTAAAAAATGAAAGATAAAATTTAAACACATGTTGCCATGTAATTTCCACGAGTCTGCGGAGGGAGAAGATTTGAATTCTGCTGGTGCTGTTAAACAATCAATATATTTTTATTCTTCTACACAGAGACAAGAAATACCCATAATCCCTTTCTTAAAAGCTATGGAAGTTTTTCTTGATTTTGTTTAAACACAAGTACAGAGTGAAGTTCAAAAGGCTTTCCATTTCGGGGGGGATTTTGTTGGTTGTTTTGTGTAATCAGTAGTAATAACAATGCTGGCATTTGGGAGGCCAAGTAGCAGTGATTTTACAAGCAATAGTTGCATTTCTTTGCTCAGAGAACTTGAGGTTTAGCTCCCTCTCTCATTTTCTTACATGTTTTGCGTTGATTAAAGCCTGCTTGTTCGATAAAATGGAGCCCTTTTTCATTTTTCTTTTGGAGTTTCTTAAGTGCACTCCATTGAATTGAATTTTTCAGTTTTTCTTGGATTTTGTTGTCTTATTTTGGGTTTTAATTGTACAACTTGTCTTGGCTAGACAGGGGCTGGGTTTTAATAAATTTTAAAGTCGTGCCTTGCCTTTTTAAAACTGTTTGGCTGTTGTTCATGTATTCTGTTCTCGACTTAGAGCCTTTTTCTAACAATTCATTTGGGATCTCAAAGAAGTTGAGATAAAAGCTGTGTTGTGAAACACTTGATTGGCTTAAAGTTTGGCTCCATTTTTGACTTTCAGATGCTTTGAGTCTTCTGTACTGAATATTTTGAAGTTATCTGTTTTTCTCTTAAATGATTATTGTTCTTGACCTGAATATTTTACCATTTGGTGGTTGAATTCAAGCGGGGTTTTCTAATTTGGTTGGTTAAATTTGACTAAATATTTTTATAAAAAATGGACTATTAACGAACCTTTGAGTCTTAGTGATTGGGTTCGAGCTATTTCTCGTGGCATGATAAGACTTGTGTTTTCTGACATAGCTATTCTTATAAGCAGCAAATATGGACTGAAATTGGTGAGACTGAAGCTGACAAGGATCGCATGTTCTCAGAGATTGAGAGAGAGTGCTTAGAAATTTACAGAAGAAAGATTGATGAGGCTGCCAATGTCAAGGCTTGCCTTCATCAATCTATAGCCACGAAGGAAGCTGAGATTGCAATGCTTATGGCTGTTTTGGGAGAAGTCAATATTAATTCGCTGGTATTGAAATGTCTGTAGAAATTTAAACAATCAGTATAAACGAGTCTATATCTTTTAATGATTTCTCATTGTCATTTCTTTTGTACATTGCATAAATGCTTCTATATCTGCTAATTAAATGAGATGTTTTGTATCTAATATTGAATATTCTATGACCATCTTTTGCTACTGGCGGTTTTGAGGTTTTTGGTGCTTATTTGATCATCTAAAGAAATAATGTTTTCGTACAGCTCTTGTCTTTTGCATTAGTAATAAAGAATGCCATTAACTTAACATGTACTTAACAGATAGAGTCAGACAAGAAAGGAAAATCTCTGAAAGAGCAACTGGCCTCAGTCACACCTATAGTTGAGGACTTTAAACTTAAGAAAGATGAACGAATGAAGCAATTTGCAGATATAAAGTCACAAATTGAGAAAATAACTGACATTGTCGGTGCTGTAAATTCCTTGACTCTGGAAGAAAAAGACTTATCACACAGAAAGCTCTCGGAATACCACTCAAATCTTCAAGCTCTTCAGAAGGAGAAGGTATGCCTCTACTATTTTGTTGATTTAAAGTTCACCTACTTGATTTTTTTCAGCTGATTCGATTCCATTCTTAAATTGGGCGTATGCTCCGTACGGAATCCGGGGAGAATCCCTTGATTTTTCCGTTTATGGATTGTCCTTAATTAATTGAAAGTTACTCTTATTTTCATGTGGCTTTGCTCCTTTCCCTTTTAAAATTTAAGGATTTGTGTATGTTAATCTATTACTCTTAACTTTGCTGTAACCATGTATTTGAGCAAATCTAATGATGATTATGCTTCCTCTTTGTTCGTTTCACCTGAGTTTTCTTTTGCTGTCTCAAATCTAAATTCTCTTTCTTGATTGCATCACCCCATATAGCTCCCACCACCCACTTCACTAATACGCGCATAAATAAGATCTATTGGATTAAAAATAATCTCTTCAGACAAATAATTACAAAATAATAATAATAATAATAATAATAATAATAATAATAATAAAATCCTATTTCTTGCAACTTCTATGGCATCAGATAAAACCATGAAAGAAGTATTTCTCTGAGACTAATGCTAAACAGAGTACCTTTGTTTGATGTTCACAGGGTTTTATGTGCTTCTCATAGGCCTGTTGACAAATACCATTTCATTCTGAAAATGTTTTGACATTTCATATTTTCATGTCAATCACAAGACGTTTTTTCTGATACCCTTGCTTCTGTCGTATCAACTGAGTAATTCTTTATTTGTCCATTGAGTAGTGTGCAATGTAAAACCAACTGCGATTTGAATTGAGCAGCGGTATCTAATTAAGAATGATGCAACATTTCCAGTTTGGCTTAGCATAACTTCTGTCAATATGCTACTTTGTCAGTAACAAATCAAATTTCACAATCTTCTATTACTTGCGAGAAATGATTGCATGTTAAACTTCCATCTATAAGGTTGGTAATTGGCATTACTGATGTATTAACTTATGAAACAACTGTATGTATTTTCTATCATCCGCAGTCTGTGCGTCTCAAGAAAGTTTTGGAGTTTGTGGATGAATTGCATTCTTTGTGCAATATACTAGATTTGGATTTTTGCAAAACTCTGAGTGATGTTCATCCTAGCTTGCAAGGAACGAGCCTAGATCAGGCCACAAATATCTGTGATGCCACGTTAGAGGGTCTTGATCAGGCTATCCTGAAGTTGAAAACAGAGAGAACATTTCGATTTCAGAAGGTATTTCTCTCTTATAGTCCTAAGTTGGCTTGTACGTAAATTTCCATATTAACTCTACAATTGCTGCAGCTGAAACATGTTGCTGGATCACTGTTTGACCTCTGGAATTTAATGGATGTGGCAAATGAAGATAAAGCTAAGTTCTTAATGATTACTTCGATTCTTGGTTCGTTGGAATCCGCTGTTGTTGAACCCGGTTCTCTATCAATGGAGATTATTGAACAGGTTTTTAAATATTGGCATCCCTACCTGCCTCTCCCTTCACCTAATATAATCTGGATTCTGTAATATCACTTTAATTCCTACAGGTATCAGCAGAGGTCGAGAAGCTCTCTAAATTAAAAGCTAACAGGATGAAGGAACTTGTGATGAAGAAGAGGTTGGAGTTGGAGGATATATGCTATAGAACTCATATTCAACTTGATTTAAGCATGGCTGATGATAAAACTAATGCGTTAATTGATTCTGGTTGGGAATCTTGTTCTCTCTCTCTCTCTCTCTCTCTCTCTCTCTGTTCGCAAGGTAACAAGTATGAAATCTTCCTTTTCCGCAGGCGTGGTGGATCCTTGTGAGCTCTTAGCTAATATTGATATTCAAATGAACAAAGCGAAAGATGAAGCTTGGAGCCGAAAAGAGATAATAGATAAGATAGACCATTGGCTTGCTGCATGTGATGAAGAAAATTGGCTAGAGGATTATACTCAAGTAATCTCAAAATGTAGTTTATTAACAGCACTATGATGAATGTAGGAATGAGCAATCTGTTATTAGTTTATATACTCATAAATTTCAAGTAGTACAGTATATATAGCTGATAGACACGAGTTGTATTTCCTTGTCATCTTATGATTATGGTTGCTGATTATCAGGATGAAAATCGTTATAGTGCTGGCCGAGGTGCACACATAAACCTAAAACGTGCTGAAAGAGCTAGAATTTTGGTAAATAAGATTCCAGGTAAGTTTTTTGTAGCCTTAATGCTGTCTTATCTTGTGCAAACTAGTAACATTTCTGGAGCTAAAACGCTGATGTTCAGGTATGGTTGATAATCTGATTAGCAAGACATTGGCGTGGGAGGAAGAGAAAAAGAATCTGTTTCTTTATGATGGGGTAAGTTCTTTAGAATTTCTATGATGCAGTTTGAAATTTCGTGTTCTATTGCTATGGTCAAGGCGAAGTAGTTTTCATTTTGACTTTTATCTACAGGTGCGTTTGGTTTCAATTTTGGAGGATTACAAACTAACCAGACAAAAGAAAGAAGAGGAGAGGAAGCGTGCTCGGGTAATTCTGATTCAATCAGTTATTTTCATTTCTTTAACACTCAGGTACAAAGAAAGGATTTTCTGCAGTTTCAAGTTTTGCTTTGTTTGCCCCATATAGATAAAAGAAAAAGTAGTAAAAAAGAAAAAGATGAATAGGATTGAAAGATTACCTTTTGCTTCTCTCATTACACGTGAATCATGTCAAAAGCTTGGAGCCTACATGCATTTATGTAATTAAATTCGTCAATATCACTCAAATTGTTCCGCTATTATTTAACTAATCTTTTGTTCAGGAACAAAAGAAACAGCAAGATATGCTACTTGCTGAGAAAGAAGCTGTGTATGGTTCTAACCCAAGTCCTAGAAGAAGCAATAACTTTTGGAATGGGTATCACACGAGTGGAACTCCCTCACCTCGTCAGAACTCAGTTCGTCATGCAACTCCAGAACTCCTAACTCCCCGGTCCTATTCTGGAAGACAAAATGGGTATTTCAAGGAAACGAGAAGGCTTTCCACAGTGCCACTTAACTTTGTTTCAATACCCAACGAAGATACCATGTCGTTTTCATCCGTGGGTGGCTCTGAGCTGGAGTCACCATCTCAAATCTGAACTCAGAATACTGCCTATGGGTATTTCTCGTTCCTTTTGCACATTAGGGGAAGGCAGGGCTATCATTCTCTGAAAGTCCATGGTCGAGTAACAGGGAAGAAGCATTAGTAATTGGTTGTGAATATAGGTGAAGATGTACACTACTTAACTAACTTTTAGACAACCTGCTTAAGAAAATTGGTTTCACTTTGATGAAATAACTCACTTGCATTTTGATATCCATGACCAATGTTCTAAAAACAAAATTATTTTACTTGGAAATAATATAAGATCTTGTGATTGTTTTATTATTGGGAGACATGACATAGTTCCACCTTCTAATGTTTATTTGTTTATCCAGTATTAATAAAATGGCAATGTTATGTGTACATAACCTTTTACACACGACCTTATACTCCCTTCACATGGAGGGGTCTCGCACATGATAAAATATGTGTGGGACCCCCTTCATGTGAGGGGATGTAAAGTTGGTGCACATCTCAAGGTTTACACATAGCATTATTGCTAATAAAAAATCATGCTAGTTTGAGTAAAAAGATAATAATATAAAAATTGTTGCTATTTCTTTTACTGAATATATGTGATGTGGCACAATCGTAAATTTGAAAAGCTGATTTTTAAGTTGTCTATTTCCTTTGGTCTTTATCATTATGTAATAATGTTTAGTATTTATTTGATCGATCGAACAAGTGATACAATTTAGTTTATTTGTAATTTAAAACTTTATTACAATTATATATATGATCTAAAACATAAAATAAGATTATGCATTCATTCTTAGCCTCTGTTTGTCATCCTTTAACATATTAAATTGTTTGCTACGGTCACATTCTCTATCACACTTTCACACAATAAAATATTCTACACAAAAATCAATATATACTTTTTTAATTTTAACCAAATTTTTCAAAAAATACTATTCAAAATTTTTTAATTTACTCTATAATGGGAGACAAACAGACTCTTAGTATCAACCACACTATGGAGTGAGAGGGCGGGACCCTCTCTCTCTTGCTTGACCACATGGTCAAGTAAAAGTAGAAGGGACCTCTTCGTGCTTGACTGCACGAGTAAGCACGAGAGGTTGTCTCCCACATTTGGCATCATGTGTGAGCGTGGTGATTCATTTATTTCACTCCCTATCAACAGCTTAGGTGCCAAATCTATCTCGTACTCAAATCATACTCATAGGGATCGAGATCTAGCATTAACATTTTGGGTCAATCTTGCCCTCATCAAATTTTACACCTTCCAAATTCATTACTCATGAAGCTCAATTTGACACTATCTAGAGGAGAGACTCACAATGCATCTTTGTTCAAGGGTATACCCTTCAGATTTTTGCCATGTGTGCTTATCTGATGGCCACCAATCTTGTGAAGTGTCCTTCCCCTCTTTGTTTAAAGGAGAACCTATAGTATTCTACAACATGTTCATATAAGACTCATCTTATGATAACTGTCTCATTCATATTCAAGGATTTTCGCCATGTGTCTGATGTATTTCCTATAAAAAGGCACTCAATGTGCTCAAGGTAAACTCAATTCACATCTTTAAGAGTTTCTGATACTCGTTCCCTTTTAGTAGATCCTCTCTAAAATATGTTACTTCGAGAACTACTTCTCATCCTGGAGGGGAATGGGGACTTAATCATGCCTTTCATTGTAGGTATTGTGGAAACCTTAACCTTGACAACCACCAGTTTCCAAATTGACCCCCCATTTCTTTGCAGATGTTAAATTTGAAGAACCAATTTAGCCCCTGTTTGGTCCTCATTAATTTTCATTCCATTACATTTCATTTTTCTCTCTCTCATTTTCAACCATACAATCTTTCATAAAATAATATTATACGTAAATCGAAAACTTTTCTTTCTTTTTCAACCACTCATTTTTCAAAAAAACACTATTCCACACATTCTCATTACCACAAAATGGGGGTCAAACGGGGGCTTACTTCCTCTTCTTAACTTGAAAAAGCTAGATTTTTTTTCTTTCAACAAAGTTATATTTCCAAGTTACAGTGTCAATTTTATAGATTTATAATGTCTATTTCAAAATTATAATGCTCTACATTTATATCTTTCGGTATACTTGTTCAAACACCATACAAAATCGGTATTGTTCTAGTGAGAAAAGGGAGGGAACAAACTTCTTGAGAATTTTCTCATGAATGACTCAATCCTAGTTCTGTGATTACATTGACTCGCAAACTCATACTTGATTACATCACACTAAGATAGTTTGGAATGAGATACGCATTAATCGCAGTGCACAAAAGAATAAGACTAGCAACATAGACTAAAATACCTATCACCAACGATCTTTACTTTCATGCGAGGAAGATGTTGAAGATGGCATCATCTGATATTTTCTCTTCTAAAATTTGATTTAGAACAACCCCTGTCCCTTTTGCTTTAAGTGCAAGATCCACATGCTCTTCAGTTACATCAGTTGCTTGGGCACTCAAGATTCGATTGTCTATGAAAAAAGAATAGAAACAAAGAAAGAGGAGTTAAAATCGAACTCACTAGATTCTAGAACATAGGCTAGCACGCAATGGCTTTCTCTAATAGGGGCTCACTTCTGACTTCCTTTTGGACTTACCACTCTCCGAAACGGAAAGAGAAATACAACTTATTTAAGTGAAAAGTATGCCGAAGAGGTTCAATGGCAAGTCGCCGCCAAAATATGGTCTTTGTAGGTCGGAGTCTTGATTTTATAGAATCGAGTGAAGTGCTTACGCTCCTTTAGGGATAGGGACGAGCCAAAGAGAAGTTGCCCTACATTCCTGACTAGGAATGATATAAGGTCCGCCCTTAAGTAGTTCCTTTGTGCGTGTAGGTGTGTTTCAAAAGGCTGTTTATTAGCGGCATTGGCTTGCGTCAAATGTGTTGTTGGTTAAGTTGAATACCAAATAGAAGCTTGATAAATATTGGATGCCTATCGACTTTCTGAAACTTTGCTTGGACGTAAAGAAAATAACTAACTCACGTCCAAAGTACATAAAGAATTACAAGAAACCTAGAAATTTGTCACATCATCATTGAGAAATCAATTATTACTTACCATATTATCAATCAAGAAGATGTCAAAGAGGGATGAGTCCTGAATTCACATCACTATCCGATTTGGATTTTAAAATTGGGGAAGTCAAATGAAATTTACGAGGAAATTCACATTTTTTCTTTGACACAAATATCTCTACAGATAAAAAAATGAGTACAAGTAGGTTAGAAAATGGGAAATCTCTTGATATAAGCAAGAATATGTCACATTAAAATCATCATTAATATTATCAGTAACATAAAAATCAAAAATATTTTTATTATATACCTGGAATCTTGATAAAAAAATGTCTTTTCAAAGTGAACCTGCATATATTGTACAACAAATTAGCTTGTTCAACAACTAACGCATCCACAGGGAAGTTGATTCCAATCGAGTTAATCAAAAAAGCATGGGTATGAGTATATTGATCGAAACAAGATGAACTTTTACCTTAAAAAAGTAAAATACTTTGCAACAAAAATTTATGTGTCTCATGCGTGTCAACATATATGTCAACACATTTTCATGCATAATAAATAAGATTGGGATATTAAGGGAAAATAAATGTCATGATTCAAAGATAACGATTGTTAGCATCAAATCAAGAGTCTATGCCAAAAGAGATTATAGTAATGCAAACACTAGGATATACTATTAGTACACTATCTTTTACAGTAGAAATTTCCAGTAGTTCTCAATTCCATATATTCACATATTAGTGAGTACAAACTCATTAATTTGCAAAGCTTGTTTGAAAACTCAGACTCAAAAAATTAAAAATAAAGAATGTATTCTTTGGACAGGGTTCCACATCATGCATACGAAATTGCTCAAAGAACTGAATTTAGTAGCTTCAAGGTGAAGACATTACCAACACTCATCCGTGGCAAAGGTGGTAGGTTTCACATTCTAAATTGGCGCCAATTTGTACATCACTAGTATGGATGTCAAATGGGTTGAGCAGCTCGTCAGCTTGTAAAATTATGAGCTCGAGTGCGAGCTGAGCGGACCTCGACGGGGGGCAAGCTGAGAGTGCAAGCAACTCGTGGAAACGAGCCACGAGCTGAGCGGTCACTTTTTCAAAAAAAAAAGTGACCGTTTTGGTCACTTTTTAGTGACCATTTGGGTCATTGAACTTTTTTATTTTAATTTTATTTTTTTCCTCACTTCACTTCTATTACAAATATCCCCAGAACCCTCAATTTTTTTCATATCAAAACTCCATTCTCACTTCTCAACTCTCTTTATATCAATTATCAAATTTTTACTCTCTCTTGTGTTGTTGTGCAAAATATACAATATCGATTCATTTTTTACAGTTTAGTTAGTTACAATTTCAATTCATCCAATTCTCAGTTCTCACTGCATTTATATTTTTACTAGTTATTATATTTGGATTTCATGACAAACAATCAAACAAATGGATCAACACTCATTTGTTGAGAGCTTGTTTGATACGGGAATTGCCTAGGACACCGCAAAGTCAATTTTTGAATGAATTTGTCCATCTAAATGACGTAACCATACTTGAAGATGTTCACATTCACTGTCATGGAAGCCACAATCCAATTGATTTGGATGATATTAACATTCTCGAAGCAGAACATAAGGATGAAGATGCCGAATTAAACATCCCAGATGCGAGGGAAAAGCGAAAGAGGAAAAACAAGCAAAATTTTGGGATCACTTTAAGTTGATTTCAACGAGAAAAGTTATCGATGGCCTCGCAGAATCTAATGCAGTATGTTCTGCGACAGTATCACATACTGCCAACAAAAATTGGCAGGACAAAAAGGAATTAGTACCACCCATCTCAATCATCACTACAAAGCATATGCGGCCAGATATGAATTTCTTCCAGTTGGTCAAACACAATTGCAATTTGCCAGTTCAGACGCCAATCTTACGACCTCACCCCTATCCATGTGGGTGTATTCGAAGGACAATACTCGAACCTGTATGGTGAAATTTGTTGCCGCCACTGACTTTGGCTATTGCCAACAACCAACACTTTGTCTTGTTCGTGAAAGAATATTTGCAACCAAGGTACGTTAGGGTAAGTTGAAACACTCTTCGTGCCGATACAAATACAATATTTCAATGATTCAAAACAATAATTAATTATGACTTTGCAACAATATGGGGGTGTTATATCTTTAACTTCTGATATATGGGAAGGGGTTAATAAAAGAGCATATATAGCTGCAACTGCACACTATATAGACCTACTTTGGTGCATGCATAAAAAAATTATTGCTTTTAAAATTATTAAATTTTTTCACAATGATAATAATATATATAATGTTATTATCAGTTTTGCTAGAGAATATAGTTGCGAGACTAAAATTCGGTATTTTCCTTTCGATAATGCTAGTGTTAATAAGGTAGTCGTAGATAAATTGTGTAGGGTACTTCAACCTGATTTCAATGGGTATTTCTTTCATATTCGTTGTGTATGCCATATTTTGAATTTAATTGTGCAAGATGGCTTAAAACATATAAATGATGAACTTCAAAAGATTAGAAACGCATTAGTATATATTACGATCTCTTCTATTAGAAAACAAGCATTTGAAGATTTTTGTACCGAACTAGGGGTGACGACTGCTAAAACATTTGTTAGCCACGTAGGTTATAGATGGAACTCTATTTACTTGCTATTAAAGTCGTGTGAATGTTTTGAACATTTAATAGCTGACTTTTATAACAATAGACACGTTAGAAGTGATGACGATAGTATGTTGAATGAATCCGATTGTCTTTTAGCTTTGAAAGTTAAACGATTTTTTACAACTTTTATGAGATCACAAAGATTTTATCGGGCGTTTATTATCCCACAAACTGTATGATGCTTGAACACCTTCATACAATTGTAAGAACATTCCATAAATATAAAAATGATTCTGATTTTAGTGAAATTATAATTGCTATGAAATTGGAGTTTAGAAAATATTGGGAAGAACTACTTATGTTATTTTCTTTAGCATGTGCAACGGACACCCGATATAATATATCGAGAACTAAATATGTAATTGATCAAATCAATAAATTCTAAATACTTGATACACCTATCACCTATAAGAATATGGAGCAAACATTATGTGGAATATATGATTTATATACGGAACGAATGGGTGCGAATGTTAGTCGGATACCCTCAACACCTACTCTTTCGGCTGAAATTGAAGAAGATGATCCCGAAATAATGAATTTATTTCAAGGGCATTTAGATATGATGCAACTGTAATATGTTCATCTAGTGCAATGTCATCTACACTTGCATCTCATCAAATATCAACTGCAACTCAAAATGCGATGTCTATTGAATTAATTGATTACTTCAATCATAATATGCCAACAGACCAAACAATTAAAAAAGTTCAGAATAAGTAATTGAATTTTGGCGAAAGTATGAAAGTCGTTGGCTAATTATTTCTGCAATTACGAAAGATCTGCTGACACCTCTAGTTAGCATTATTACTTCAGAGTCTACTTTTAGTGCAGGTAAAAGGGTTTTGATCGATGCCAGGAGTCGGCTGAAAGAAGATGTTTTGGAAGCATTAATGTACTTGAAGGATTGTGATGAGTGTAATTCACTCATTAAACACACGCCTCTAAATCACGGGTTTTAGCTTGTTCTTGAGCACTTTTGAACGTTTTGATGTGTGTGTTCGTGTTGTCTTGCAGCTAAATCAACATTCGAGAAAACACCATAATTGGGAGCTTGTGATGAATCTACATGGTGGTCATAAAATGGGGGCATAAATTAGAGATAAGAAAAGAAGATTGCAATGGAAAAGCAGCTTAGAAGGTGAATGATTCAAGCAATGAGCAGCTTGTTAGGAGCCACAACGTCTAAATTGGGCGCCACGGCACCCAACAAAAGGAGAAATTCAGCAGGAAGTTGGGCGCCATGGTGCCCAGTGTGAAAACAAGAAGCAGAATAGCTGGCACCGTGGAGCCAGACTTGGGCGTCACGGTGCCAGAACCCAATCACAACGTAGCATCGCGGTGCTAGACATGTGGCCACGGCGCCGAACCTTGCAACGCCAAAAAGCCCACATTTTTGGATATTTCTCGGCCTAAGATGTTCCCTAATCATCTAAAATTTGAAGATAACATAAATACTAAGAGAAAAAACCTAAGGGAGGCCGTTCTTTTCTGTATTCTCTCTGGGCAAAAAAAAAAGAAAAAAAGAGGGGGAGGGGATTTGAAGATCCATTCAAGAGGCAAGGAAAAGAAAATTGAATTGTATCGAGATTGACGAACAATTGGGGAAGAACAAGAGGCTTCAATCAGTTTTTCTAAACCTTTATTTACTATTTCTCATGTTCTTTTTCTTGTATTTTGGCATGTCAATCGATTCAAGCATGAACTAAATTCTTAGATCTAGGGTTGATGTAACCTATTTGAGACATGATATAAGTTTAATATAGTTATTTCTTTCAGTTTTTCCATGATTTATTTGTGTTGTTTTGTGCTTAATGCTTTCAATTATTTGATTGCTAATTGAATGAATCGATCTCTTAAATTTAATGCTCGAGAGGGGAAATTTAGACATGATCTGGAACAACATAACCTAGATTTGTAGGTTTCGAGAGAAAGTGCAAACCTTTGAGGGGTATAAACAAGAACCAAGAGCTTTAACAATCTTTATATATTTAATTCAGAATAGAGATATTAGGGTTAAAATATAACGATAGATTCTATTGGCACTCGAGAGAGAGAATAAAATTAAATTAGGGTTCTTGCCTATAAATTGGGAAAAAATCGATGGAAATTGCTATAGAGATTGAGAGCATGTTGATAATAGGGTGAAATCAATCCCTAAATCTCCATAGTTTGATTTGATTTTTAGAAATTGTCTCACTTTACTTGCAGTCGTTATTCCATTTAAATTAGATTAGCATAAAAACATCATTCAAACATTGGATTTGTCTAAATAAAATGAAAATCGAAACAATTATAATACTCAGTGGAATTTAAATATCAATCTCCATGGGTTCGACACTTTTAAATTCTTCACTATATTACAAAACTTGACACCATATACTTGCGGTTAAATCACGTTATATAAAATGCGTGGCAATTTTTTGGCACCGTTGCCAGTGATTGATTCATTCGAATTCAATTGATATTATTACAAATCGGCATTCATTTTAATTTAGATTTTTATTTTGATTGTAATTTTTTTTTTATTTTGTGTCTATCCCTAATAGATTCGTTGTGTTTATTTTCAGCTGTTTATGCGAAGGGTAAGAAATCTGAACTTATTACCTGTTGATCCTGAACCAGAACGCACATTTCGTATTCTAAGAGGCATACAAAGAAACGAACGGGAAGCAATGGCAGAACAGGAAGCAAGAGCGGCTAATGAGGATAACCAACATAGAGCTATTCGAGACTACATAAGGCCCGTTGTCAATGATAATTATTCCGGCATCGCACGCCCAGCAATTGCTACAAACAACTTCGAATTGAAGCCAGGGCTGATACATATGATGCAGCAGAATCAGTTTGGGGGTGCTGCTACAGAAGACTCAAATGCTCATCTTGGATCCTTTTTGGAAATTTATGACACGGTGAAGATGAATGAGGTTACTGAAGATGCAATTAGACTTCGCCTCTTCTCTTTCTCTTTGAGGGATAAAGCAAAGGCTTGGTTCCAGTCACTACCGTATGACTCAATTACAACTTGGGATGATTTGGCTTAGNAGACAAGATCACGCTTCAACAAAGATGAATCATGGTTGGATAATATTGAAACACATGTGTCCAACATGGGGGCCACAAAGAAGAATCTTGAAGTGCAAATTGGTCAGTTGGCTACCTCAATGAAGTCTTAGCAACAAGGAAAATTTCCAAGTGATGCAGAAGTCAACCCAAAGGAGCACTGTAAAGCCATTGTATTAAGGAGTGGCAAGCAAGTTGGAGAAAGTGAATCCACCGAAGATAACAACCCCACACCTGATAAGGAGAAAGAACAAGTAGTAGAAGATCAAGAAAAGCAAGCCAAAGGAACAAATAAGGCTCACAGTCCTTACTCCTTATCTTTCCCTGACAACCCACCAATTCTCACACCACCACTTCCATTTCCACAGCATTTTCAAAAGAAAAAAATTTGATGATCAATTTGCAAAACTTTTAGAAATTTTCAAGAAAATTCACATTAATATTCCTTTTGCAGATGCTTTGGAACAAATGCCAAATTACGCAAAGTTTATGAAGGAGGTGATGTCAAAGAAGCGAAAATTGGAGGAATATGAAACAGTAAAATTAACAGAAGAATGCAGCACTATTCTTCAAAAGAAACTTCCTCAAAAGAGAAAAGATCCGGGAAGTTTCACTATTCCATGCACCATTGGAAGCTCTTCCTTTGAAAAGGCCCTCTGTGATTTAGGAGCAAGCATCAGCCTAATGCCGTTATCAGTATTTAAGAAGTTAGGCCTCGGGGAAGTCAAGCCAACAACATTGACTCTACAACTGGTTGATAGGTCCCTCACTTATCCACAAGGTATTATTGAAGACATGTTAGTAAAGGTTGACAAATTCTTCTTCCCAGCTGATTTTGTGGTATTGGATATGGAAGAAGATTAGGAAATCCCACTAATTTTAGGCAGGCCATTTTTAGCAACTGGAAGAGCATTAATTGAAGTGCAAGGAGGACATTTGACATTGAGAGTGAATCAAGAAGAGGTGAGGTTCAACATCTACCAAGCAATGAAGTACTCGGACGACACTGACACATGC